TAAAATGTGCAAAGTTAAAAGTCAAATAGGGCTTGGAGGATTTTTGTATATTTCCTAAAAGCCTAAAATGTGTAAATAAATTTTAGTGGAATTTTCAGAGCACAAATAATAATTATTAAGAAATAAACAAAGTTAAAATGATTTTATAAAAAGAAAAACCCTAAAATCCCTCCTTCTCTCTAATGGGCCGAATTCGGCCCATCTCCCTCCCCCTCTCTCCTCCTCCCCGCGGCCCACTCGGCCTCCTCCCCGCGCGCGTGTCGCTGACGGGCGGGCCCGCCCGCCACCCTCGCTGACGGGTGGGGCCCACCCGTCATCCCCTTCCTCCCGCCGCCCCCGCTGCCTCGCCCACGCCTAGCACCGCCGCCGCCGCGAATCCCGCCGCCTCCCGCCGTCCCCGCGCGCAATAAAGTGGGGGGAATTATTCCCCGGGATCCCCTCCCTCTTTCCCCTCATTTTTCCCTCCCTCTCTCCCTCGGATTCGTTTGGAAACCTCTCCCCTAACCTCGCCGGCGCCATTAATGGCGGCCGGGTCTCCCGCGCCCATTTCCCCCTCCTCCGGCCGCCCTCTCTCACTCCCAACCCTATATAAACCCTCCCCGAGCTCCCCACCTCCGTTTCCGCCACTCACCGCCCTCTCTCCTCGCCGGAATCGAGCTCGCGCCGTCGCTCTCTCTCTCCGCCGTCGCCGCCGAGCTCCGGTCCGCCGCCGTCGTCGCCCCGGACCACCTCCCACCTCGGCGCCGCCTCCTTCGACTTCGCCGCATCCTCGCCGACCTCGTCCACCCCTCCGTTTCGCTCGCCGACCGCCGGAGCGCCGTCGACCCCGTCCACCCGAGCCGCGCCGCCGCCTTCCTCCACTCCGGTCGCCGTTTCCGTCGTCGCCGTTGCCCTCGGGGTGAGCCGTGGACCGCCGCCTCCTTTCCCCCTTCCCTCCCCTCTCTCGGCCACTGCTCCGCCGTGCCGGTGGTCGCCGGTGGCGACCATCGGGACGCGGGCGCTGCCTCCCGCCGGCCGCGTCGACGTGGCCGCCTCCGGGCGCGCCTAGCGGCTGCCGCATGGGGCCCGGCTGTCAGCCGCCCGCGCCCTCGGGTGTGGCTGACGCGTGGGGCCCACGGCGCCGGCCGGTGTGAGCCGGGTGCACCCGGTCCACCGTGGACCGTGAGACTGCCGCGTGGGTCCCACTCCCGTGGACCCGGTCCGCGCGCCCTCTCCCCCGGTTGACGCAATAAATCTCTTTTTAATTAAAATTTAAATGAAGAAATTCGTAAATATTCATTTAAAGAGCATATAAACTTCAAATGGCCATAACTTGGCCATTTGAACTCGGAATTGGACCGTTCAAGTCTCTAATTTTTCCTTAAGAAGTCAAGAACTCATTTTTGTGCTTTGTTCCTGCTTGTCATATGGAGTTTATTAGAGTAAAAGCCCTTTTCTTTTCCGTTGGTCGTGTAGACGCTGCAGCTTCGGAAGATCCGCTCTTCGTGGAGGTTGAAGCCGACGTTTGGGAAAGCGAGCAAGGCAAGTCACATCATTCTTTGAACATATTGGATCCTAGTTTATAAAATTATTTTGATTTAAATTATTGCATTATCGCTTTATTTAAATTCCCGCGTTATCACTGTTTTATTTAGCCATGCCTATTTACCTTTGTTATGACCTTATTATTGTTGTTATTGTTATTATTACCTTGTTCACCCTAGAATAAACAAAACCCCAACTAGTGGGCACTCTATTCATGGTTCCACTAGTATGAAGTTAGGTAGATGCTTCGCTGATTAATTAGGCAACATTAGGTGGTTTTATAACTCTAGACTTTAATATTCATATCACTTGGACATATTGGAATGGTTGGATTATTGTGGAATTGGATGCACACCTCCCCCTCTATTCAAAACTCTCAAAATGGTTTTAGGCTGGGCTTGGGGTGCATGGATTTGATAGTAGCACCTCGGCCACATAAGGACCGGTCTTCGGGCCTCTGTTGCAAAGCACTACCGTACTTCCACATGTCTAGTGGGTAAGGCTTAGTTTGTGGCTCAGTCTGGTTATAAACAAAAGTACACGGATAGAGATGGACGAAGTCGGGGGTCGATGGACATCTCTAGGACAAATGAAGGCTACACGGGTTGCGGCCCGGTAGTCGAGATGTCATAGCACAGGGCTGGTGTCCTGCTGCTAGGGGCTCAATTCTGCCTGCCTGTCCGGGGGTTCCGGCCGTAGGTGGGTTGGGTCGGTACTCTTGTCTATGGCTAGGATGGGTTGGAAACTATGTCATGTCTTCCGTCCATATGCCGTGGTGGTATGTGGCACGTGGTTACACGTGAGGAAGACGTGTCTTGTGGGTAAAGATGTACACCTCTGATCAGAGTAAAACCTATTCGAATAGCCGCGCCCTCGGTTATGGGCAAGCCTAGCAATGTACCCAAGTTAGTGTTTTAAATTCTTAAAACCTGCTTAATAACTAAAATGTGGAATGGTTGGCCTGGGTTGGCTTGGGACGAGCTGGGACCCAGGGTCGGGTTGCCAGTTCGGTCTGAATCATCGTAGGCCTTGGGTTAAGGCAGGTTCGTGTGGGTTCACGACCTTATTTAATAATATTAAATAGTTATAGGATCGTGTTTTAAATTTAGCTTTGAGCAACTAAGGGTCTTTTAAATGCTGTTTATTGCAAAACATAACCCCTATATTATTATCTCCATTGTACCCCTTTGTATTTATGCTGCACTTGTGGGTGTGTCTTGTTGAGTACGGTGGTTGTACTCAGTCTTGCTCAATTTTTTCCCAAACCCAGAAGAGGAGCTCCTGGATGATGAAGGCTTTGGTGTCTAGCTCGTGCCTGCCGTCAAGCGCCTGTGGTCGTCGCCTTAGTCTTCCGCTGTTTTTCGTTGTCTTTGAGTGTGCTGGGCCGTCGCTGCCCATGTAATAATTAACTATTTACGCTTCCGCTTGTTAAACTCTGAATTGTATCAACTTTTGGTGTACCTTGCCTCCTGGGACAAGGAATAATACACGCACGTAAGGAACGCCCGTTGGGTTATTTCCGGTCGTGACAAGCGAATATTTGATCAAACTTATAATACGAAACATCAAACAACTTATGTCGGTGACATGGGACCGGGAGTATCATGACTAGAGGCTTGGGCAGGAGCAATCACCCACGTGGCCTGACCCCCTCGGGGGGGTCGGGTCCGAGGGTGATGTGGCCGCCCCCCTCTTTGTCTCCCCGAGGGGTCGGACCGCTCCCGTTTCGGCCCCGAGGGCTGAGGCGCCCCGACCCCTTGTGGGTTTTGCGCCGCGTGTATGGGTTAGGTGAGCACAACGGGGCTCACCTAACCGCATTTATTGCGGTTTGAACGAGCGCGTCACGCCGCATGTAACGCAGTGCAGCGCGCTCGTTTATCCGGTCTGTGACCAGTCACAGACCGATCAGATCGTTGGTTAGGTGGCGACAGGCGGTCTGACGCACGCCTCGCCCCATCCCGTCAGGATGAGAGCCTCCAAGCATTCGTCCCTAGCCGGAGCCGGTGTGTTAGCTCCTGGAGATGGCACGTTGGTCCCGGTCAGATATATGCCAGGCTTCATTCCAACCATTACAAGCAAGATATTGTATGAAGAGGGGCAAACATGCAGATTGCTAGACTGACACGTGGTGGACAAGAATGACCGATTTGTGACCGGTCTGACACTGGTCATGTCGTCGGCAGACAACCATGTTCCCACGTTGCACCTGCTTCCGGCGGAGTGGAGGTAGGTATGGGCCATCCCATCAGAAGGTCATTCGGACAGCAGCCATTGCAAGTCTCCGCCCATTTATGAAGAGATGACAGGGTGATCCCCGAGGTCAGACGAGTGAGAACGCGTGGCCACACTAAAAAACAAGCAGTGTTTTTAGCTTTCTAGAGAAGGCAAGCCAAGTTTGAGTAAAGATAGGATAAGTTCCCCACCAGAAAGAGAGATAGGGAGAGGTGGTGCATGTGGTATCCCCTTGAGATATAAAAGGAGGACCTTGCCCACTTAGAGAGGGGGACGGGAAGGGGAGAGGATCTGGAGAGTAGATCCCAGGAGAGGAAAAAAGGGAGAAGAGGGTTTCTAGAGTAAGGGCTCTCTGGCTCTCCAGCTCTCTGTAGCTTCTTCATATACAGATCCACCAGAACACAGGAGTAGGGTATTACGCTTCTCAGCGGCCCGAACCTGTATACATCGCCCGTGTCTTGTGTTTTTTCCACTCTCGCGAACTTTCCACAGACTAGGAGCTTAGAATCTCACCAGGGCCCCCGGCCGAACCGGCAAAGGGGGGCCTGCGTGGTCTCCCGGTGAGGAGCCCCACGCTCTGTCAACTTATAATATGAAGCAGAGGGAGTACATCTCTACATTGATTTGAGATTTGAGAAGCTTAGTCAGAGTTATTTTTTATATTTCGAGAAAATATTAATTACCGTATTCTCTCCGATTCGTATTAGATTCGTGTCTGTATTTGATAATATTCGATTCTATTTTCATATTCAATATTTTTAATTCCAAAAATAATATGAAATCATAAACGGTAGAGTTGGTGTCCATCCGTTTCCGAGCCATTTTCATCCCTAATCGATACTACGGACCTACTCCCTCCGTCCCAAAATAAATCAACCTCGTATAAGTACGAGGTTGGTTTATTTTGAAATGGATGATACTACCTATCGAATATCGTTGAGGATATGTTCTCTTGTTTTGTTTATATCCGCGTAATCATCCATCCAAACATTTGCGGGTAATAACAGCCGTTTTTGTGTTTTTCGGAAGAATTTCGCCACCCACGTTCAGAAATCCGAAACTCCCAAAATTTCGAGGGAAACAAAAAAAAAAAAAAACGAACCCGCCCAGCAGCGAGAAAGAAAAGAAAAAAAAATCGCAATGCAAAACCCCCGCCCGCTGCTACGCGGGGCCGCGGCGGCGGCGCCACGCCCAAATCCCCAAACGCAACCCGCCTGCGCCACGCACCACCCCCCTTGTTTCATATTCACATTCGCCCGCTCAAAATAATTCCCGCGTCCCCGCCCGCCGCGGCCTCTCTCTCTCGATCGAATCTCTTTCGAATTTTCCAAAACCGCACCAAACGCCCAAAAATTTCCCCCAAATCTTTCCCTCCCCCCTCCACCGAATTTCCAAATCCCCAAATCGGAGGAAATGGCTTCCCTCCAACTCGAATTCCCTTCGAATCTCATCTCCCTCCCTCCCATTTCTGTTCGCGCACCGGCTACTTAATCGTCACACCTGATCCCCCGCTGCCCAATCCCTCCTCCGCCTCCGCCTCCGCTTCCGCTCCGCCGCCGCCTGCCTCGCCGCGCCGCCGTGCTAGGAGGAGGAGGAGGGAGCAGCCGCGGAGATGGCCGGCAAGGAGAACGCCGCGGCGGCGCAGCCCCGCCTCACCCGCGCCGCCGCCAAGCGCGCGGCCGCCGTCACCGCCGTGGCCGTCGCCGCCAAGCGCAAGCGCGTCGCGCTCAGCGAGCTCCCCACGCTGTCCAACAACAACGCCGTGGTGCTCAAGCCGCAGCCGGCGCCCAGGGGCGGCAAGAGGGCCGCCTCCCACGCCGCCGAGCCCAAGAAGCCAGCTCCGCCGCCGGCGCCGGCGGTGGTGGTCGTGGTCGACGACGACGAGGAGGGGGAGGGGGATCCGCAGCTCTGCGCGCCCTACGCCTCCGACATCAACTCCTACCTCCGCTCCATGGAGGTACGCCACATCTCTCGTCCATGTCGCCCTCCGCTTCCTTCGCCCGCCGTCGCCATTTCCAAGATCTAACGAGGCGCCGTCGTGCGTGCGTGCGCAGGTGCAAGCGAAGCGGCGGCCGGCGGCGGACTACATCGAGACGGTGCAGGTGGACGTGACGGCCAACATGCGAGGCATCCTGGTCGACTGGCTCGTCGAGGTCGCCGAGGAGTACAAGCTCGTCTCCGACACGCTCTACCTCACCGTCTCCTACATCGACCGCTTCCTCTCCGCCAAATCCATCAACCGCCAGAAGCTGCAGCTCCTCGGCGTCTCCGCCATGCTCATCGCCTCGTAAGCGCCGCCCGTTTCATCCCCGCCCCTCGCTGAGATTTACCCATCAGTTCAAGAATCGATATTTACTTCGGATTGGTTTGGTGGATCCAGGAAGTATGAGGAGATCAGCCCCCCAAATGTGGAGGATTTCTGCTATATAACCGACAATACCTATATGAAACAGGAGGTGGGTACTGATCTGATCTCTCTTTGTTCATGTGCCTGAGTACGATTTGGTTTCAGATCTTGCAAGTGTTTGATGCTAAATTGCTGATTGAGTCGTGTTCTTGTTGCTTGTGTCGATGCGTAGGTTGTCAAGATGGAGCGCGATATACTGAATGTTCTCAAGTTTGAGATGGGCAATCCTACAACCAAGACGTTCCTGAGGTAAAACCACAAACCAAGTTAATCTGAAATGTTTCGTGTTAATCACCATGGATCTGTATCTGACCTTTTTCTCTCTGTTTTTCCCTACTCTGTTTTCAGGATGTTCATCAGATCTAGCCAAGAAGACGATAAGGTAGCAATCCACAAATCTCATCTTCTATACTCCTTGTTAAATTACTTGATTACTCTGTAGGAGTACATGTTTGTTGATCTCAAAGTATTTGTGATTCTTGCTGCAGTATCCTAGCCTTCCCTTGGAGTTCATGTGTAGCTATCTTGCCGAGCTGAGCCTGCTGGAGTACGGCTGTGTTCGGCTCTTGCCATCCGTTGTTGCAGCCTCAGTGGTGTTTGTTGCAAGGCTAACCCTTGATTCAGACACCAATCCTTGGGTATGCAAACAATTCCATTGCATCCAAAGCTTTCATTGAACCATATTTTGTGAAATGGCAATTCATCTGTTTCTGTGTGGTTGCAGAGCAAGAAGTTGCAAGAGGTGACCGGCTACAGGGCATCTGAGTTGAAGGATTGCATTACCTGCATACATGACTTGCAGCTAAACAGGAAAGGGTCATCTCTAATGGCTATCCGGGACAAGTACAAGCAACATAGGGTAAGCTTGAATCTTTTACAATTGGAGAATCTTCTTGACATCTTATTCATTTAGTACTAATCTAATTGCGCATTCATCTCTAACAGTTCAAGGGCGTATCAACATTGTTACCCCCTGTTGAGATCCCTGCATCATACTTCGAAGACCTAAACGAGTAGATGTTACTGGATGATGATGTGGTGAGATTAAGATTGAGCTTTCCTCAAGATAGATCCATGGTGACTGAAGTTGAAAGGGGGCTTGTCAGTACACTCAGTACAAGAGATGTCCTACCTTGGATGCTGGACTGTCAAAGCTTAGCTAGGAGCTCTTAGGGTTGATTTATTAAGCTGAAGCTTAGTACACTTCAGTAAGATGCTAGGCATGTGGAGAGTTGTACCTCTGTATCATATTCATACATTACAACCTGATGCCTTAATTTTTGGGCCAGAACTGCAATACTTGATTTGCTAGTCCTCATGCCATTTTTTCTTTGCTATTGATTATTTGATTCTTTTATTCATATAGCTTGGCTGTTAGCCTGTTACTACTATAGTTAAGATGCCTTTTAGTAGGCAGTTCCACATTAGAGGTCAGAATTACTTATCTAGCTGCAACTCTAAACATCTTAGTATGCACCAAGTGATGTGCTCTTCACATTACATGTATCTTCATATGACTGGTGATCATTTCTAGCACAATGTTTTTGCCAGTAAGAACATCTGAATTCATGAGGGTTCTCAGCTATTTTCATAGCGGAATTTTGCAGATCATTTATTAACTTGTGCATCACTTGAGGTGGTTTGCTGCAATGCATTGAATCTTCTAATATGCTGGACCAATTTTTGTCTGTGCCATAACCTGAGTTTATAGCCCAGAACTAAGATCATGGTGCTGATTTTTGGGTGAAGTTTTGTTACTCAGTACAAAACATGTGGTCCGGATAATGTCTTGCTAATGATTTTCCCATAGTTTGCTCATGTTCTTACTTGGTACTTATTACAGTGACTCCATGTTGAGAACCTCCATTTCTACAGCGTGTTCAGTCAAGTTTTAGACACTCTGGAGTCCGGTCTATACTGAAAACATGTTATTTTTCAAGATGATTTCAGCTTACCACTTGGCATAGAGTTAACAAAGTTCTGGCTTCTGAGCCTGTCTTTCACCAGTAGGTGTTAGGAGTCCTTTTTGTCCATCCTACTTCAGTTGAACAACTAAAAGATTACCATGTAAAACAATAATGAGTTTCTATTTTAGATACTGAACTCAGTTCAACGACTCAAATGAGTTCAGGTATGTACCATAAGTCTTTCAAAGCATAAGGTTTCCCTTAGTCCTTGTTCGGTTAATCCCTCTCCCAGGAGATTAACAAGCCCTTAATGAGGTAAAGAAAAGGGGAAAATTTTAGTTTCTTCAGTGGCTGACATTGTTTTGTGCTAATGAGAAATGAGTTTGATAGTATTTCAGAAACAAAGAAGGTAACATGCCAAAGAAAATTGGCACACAGGTCAATTCTTTCTCTTTTTGTTTCCCTCAGAATAAAAACACTTTGAAGAATATTTCTCCTAGGAGATTAACCGAACAAGCCCTTAACGAGGTAAAGAAAAGGGGAACATTTTAGTTTCTTCAGCGGCTGACACTGCTTTGTGCTAATGAGAAATAAGTTTAATTGCTTTTTAGAAACAAAGAAGGTAACATGCCAATCAAAAATTGGTATACAGGCAGCTTTTCAATTATCTCGTTTTGTTTCCCTCAGAATAAAACACTTCGAAGAACATTTCTTGACCCTGCCTTGATCACTTCAAAAGCTTTGCACATACTCCATCCGTCTCAAAATATATGACATTGTTAATTTTTTGCATAACGTTTGACCATTCGCCTTATTAAAAAGATAATATAAATGATATGCGAAAGGTCAATGGTGTCGTACATTTTGAGAAGGAGGGAGTAGATCACAAGTCCAAAACTACTTTGCGATTATGTTATTTGCAGGCACTGATCAAGTGATTATATAAATCATGTGAATAGTTAGAGTTCTAGGGCTAAAGTAGACCCTAAAACAGAATTGGTTTCTGTTGAGGGAAAAGGAGAACTTCTCCACAAGAGACTGCTTATTTGTTTGAAAATAAAAGTGAGGAACCAAAGTATAACAGAAACTAAACTATTCTCTGCTAGTATAACTTCCATACCAAGACACTTCTTATTTGTTTCTTTTCTTCAATCCTAATTCAAAAGTACAAGCCTACAAGGCGTGCATGAAGATAAAATGTTTTTTTTTGAAAAAAATGAAGATATGATGCATGTTTCTCTCTTTTAGCATCAGTTATCTTTCCTATATCCTCTATTTATGGGCGATTGAGTACACGCTCCTCACTTTTATTTTCAAAGTTTTAAAACTACTGATACGGTGATACCACATTCATTTCCATAATTGTCTCGATCCCCATGCAAGTGAAACGGCAAGGCATCTTTTCAAAGGCAGCTAAAGAGTAGCACAACCTGGTAGAATGTTCCTCCAAGGTTTCAATTATGCCCTTGTTTAGAACCAAACTTTTTCTTCAAATTTCCAACTTTTCCATCACATCAAAATTTTCCTACACACAAATTTCCAACTTTTCCGTCACATCGTTTCAATTTCAACCAAACTTCCAATTCTGGCGTGAACTAAACACAACCTATATCTTCATAAAAAAACACTGATTGTACCTACTATGCATCTATGATTAATTAAGGCTGTGTTTAGTTGGATCCAAAGTTTAGATTTTGGTTGAAATTGGAAATGATGTGACTGAAAAGTTATGTGTGTATGACAGGTTGATGTGATGGAAAATGACTGAAGTTTAGATCCAAACTTTGGATCTAAAGACAGCCTAAGTACAACTGTTTTAGAAAAAAAGAAATGGAGAAATCACTTTACAATTTCTCTTGAAGAACAAGGTGGGCTTTTATTCCCAACCTTGCCAGGACCCGGTTTTGCTACAGCCTGTAGTGAGACCGCAACTTAAACAGTTAACAGTCCCGCTAGGGCTATCAGATCTGAATCCAAGGGCTCAGATTGACCCAAGTACTAGGTTTACTGTATCAGATATGCTACTATCTTGGGAGATGCCAATACTTGTGGAACACCAAGCTAAAATTAGTGAACCAGGTATGCCTTTTCTTTTGCTGATATGTCTCCATCTTATCCTATTGCTGAGCCTGAGTAGTGGAATTGCAACTGCAACTTGATGAGCGGGAACATCTGGGAAGAGTTCTGTACTGTCCAATTGTCCATGTCAGGCTTGCATTCCCCGGACCAAAGTCAGATTTTAAAGGCCATAATAGTGAAGCACAACTAGCATAGCACCAAACTCTGCTACTGTTATCGACCAGTTCTTTGATTCCGACATGCAATTTTCTGCTAATATTAGGTTTGTCCCCTTTTTTTTTTGTTCTCTCTTTTGATATCCTTTTCTTCATAGGTAGTGCAAGATTTTGAACTGGTTTAAAAAAAAAAATTCTTTCTTTCCTAGTACTACTGCATATTTGTGCTCTACTTATGTGCCTTTTAAGAAGAAAAAGCTGCACATACGACACCACCATTAGGCAGTGCAGATTGCAGAATTACATCCTTTATTGTCATATCCTCTGTTATGACATAATTTCAACATGATTATCCTGGATTTCAAACTAAGAACATCCGCAGAGATGTACTTGCTGAATTTCACATCTGAAGAAAGAATAGAAGAACTGAACAGCAAAACCTTCAGAAGTTCAGAGGTGTGGTATCTGAAGAGGCAGACTAATCTCTTCCTGGAATCATTATATATCAAACTGAAGAATCAAACACATGATGATTATATACTGGTCAAATTAATTAGTACAAGAGCTAGCTCTACACCTAGGACATGCATGGATTTATATCATGATGATGATCAATTGATCACCTATCATAATCTACTAGTATAATCTCTCACATCACAGCCTGAGGCTCAAGTCTATCTTCTTACTCTGCTCTGATGGCGGCTCCTGCTCCGAGCTGGGAGGAGGCTCAGGCTGCGTTCTGAACCTGAAGCTCCCGGGCCACGACGACGCCGACGAGCTGAGCACCTCGTCGTAGGCGAGTGGGGCGACGGGCGCCCACGGCGTGACCGCCGCCGCCGCCGCCACGGCTGCGCCGTCGTGGAACCTCGGCGCCGTGGCGTCCTGGGTGATCGGCGGCGGCGGCTGGTGCTGCTGCTGCTGCTTGTGGATCGCCGAGCCCGCCGGGTTGACGCGGAGGGCGGCGCGCATGAACGCGGCGTGCGCCTCGAGCGGCAGGCCGGCGCCGGCCATCATCATCCTGTGGTGGTGGAGGTGGTACGGCGACGACGACGGCGTCCGCTTGGCGGCGCTGCGCTCCCGCTTGTGCGCGTTCTGGTGCCCGCCCAGCGCCTGCGAGCTGAAGAACTTGCGCATGCAGAAGTTGCACGAGAACACCTTGTTCGGCGCCGACGACGCCGCCGGAGAAGAAGGAGAACCCTGCTGCTGCTGCTGCTGCTGCTGCGACGGCGTCACCGTGTCCGCCTCGCCGGCCTCCGAGGACGCGGAGGAGTCCGCCGCCGTGACCGGCACCGTCTCAACGCCGCCGCCGCCGTTCACGCCTAGCCTGAGCTCAAGCCACCCCCTGTTCACCGACGCCTCGTCCCCTCTCTCCATCTCCCTATCGACTCGCATGCACACAGCTTGTTGAGCTCAGCAGCTTCTTGTTCTTGGCTGTTCTTCTTGCAGCTGATGATGCACTAGCTATCATGCAAGCTCGACGATGAGCTTAGCATCAGCTACTAGACAGATAATCTTCGGCTCGATCGTATCGGAAGCATCAGCTGGGTAGCTTTATAGGTGGAGGAGATGATGAGATGAGGGTAGGGCAATCATCCGGCAGGGTAACGTAGGGAGGAGGGAATAATTCTAATGGAGGCTTGTGGAGGGTCTCTGTGAGGAATCAGGAGGTAACTAGATAAGAAGAGAGAGAGAGAGGGAAGGGCACAACTTTAATCATTTTCAGAATTTCTGGCTGCGGCTGCTGTTGCTGCTGCTTATCTCTTCTTCTTTACTTTGTTTCCTTTCCCATCAGGATCATCATCCTGGCCCCATGTTCCTGGAGAAATGCTCGCTGATGTCACCCTCTCCTTCTCCAGCTATATATAGCTGATAAGCTGTTAAAAAAAAAGAACGAATCGACAAAAAAATATAATTTGTGGGTAAAAGTTTTATATCCGTGTCGCCAAATTCGCTCTCAAATAGTTTGTGTGAAGATCTTGGATGGTGGCAGGTCGGCAGGTTTGTGTGAGGGAGAGGGGTCTTTCTTCTCGATCTCTTGCCCTCTCCCTCTACAACCGTTTGCTCTGGCGATGTCCAGTAGGTCAGTTCCTTAGCTGTTTGGAGTCGGCATTAGGCGGTATAGCTGTAGCTCCTTATTGGTCTAGCGGCGGTAGGTTTGGTGCTAGTCCTTTCCTCAGTTGTGTGTATAGGGGTCGTCGATGTATAATGGTGGTGCGTTTGTATTTTCTTTTTCCTAACTATAGTCTTCCAGAATTATAGCTCGTAACTTTTTTATGTTTTATCCAATTAAACTTCATACTATCTAAGTGCCGGTTCGTTCGAAATTTTTTATATCCGCGTTGTTTGCGGTTTAAAAACCGAAGCTAGAATTTAGAATATGGGCCTTGTTTAGTTCCAAACTTTTTCTTCAAACTTTCAACTTTTCCATCACATCAAAACTTTCCTATACACGTAAACTTCCAACTTTTCCGTCACATCGTTCCAATTTCAACCAAACTTCCAATCTTAGCGTGAACTAAACACACCCATGATGGAAAAAAAAACTCCAAAATTTAGTCCCCACCCCACCCCCAGCTGCATCTATCTGGTGAGCACAACCATTTCATACTGTTGCTGATCAAGTGTCAAGTCTCAGCTGTTGTCGTGTACTCTGTTCCAGTCAGATTGGCCGTGTCACTGTAGCTCTTCTTTTTCTCCGAAAGATTGTATAACACACACACACACACTTGGAAACTTGGTATGAAGTTTCAACGACAGGGTTGCTTCCAATGGCGATGGGCGGACACGTGCCGTTTGGCCATTGGCCGGTGCAGGGCTTGATAAGAGTGATCTTCTTTGACGGTGAACATCAGAAGTATGTAACATTCAGCAGTAGATTCATGTGTTTCTGGACTGTAGCTGTTCTGTCCAATCAGGATAACTTGTTAGTCCAAACTCCAGTTAGATGATTGGGTTTAATTTGGTCTCGAAACATGCCATGCATGCATAGTCTTGTGGTAGTAATCAGCACAAGTATCACGCAATTGATGGCGCCATGCTGAAGTTACAGAGGATGTCTGCTAACCTGTGTCTGAAGGTTTAATGCTTACGCTAAAACACCATGATGATGTGATGCTTCATGTTTGTAGTTTAGTGTTTGTTCTCAAGTAAAATATCTACTTCAGTAAAATAATAGTAGAATTATTGAACTTGTTTGTTGGTTTTTACTGACAAGAATTTGGCCATGAGCTCTCACATCCATCTGTGAACTGTTCCTGGTATTGCACAGTGCTAGAGAGCCTAAAGAACTTGAGAAGACTGAGCAAGTGCACTTCAAGTTCTGTCATTTTCTGCTAGCACTATAGCTGGTTGATAAGCCTAATATACATTAACACTTAACAGTTCAGAGCTTAGATAAATCACTATGACTAAGTCAAACAGCCTTGTGCTAGTCACGCATCATGCATTTTTTCCCCATCTCTTTCATGTTTCAAACAATGTAAATTAGGTACTAGTAGTACTGAATAATGATGATTTGGCCAACAAGGTTAATTGTCATGCATCATACACATTTTTTTTTTCAGTAGTGGAGGACTGTAGTTGTCACAACTCACAAGTGCAGTGACAGAGGACCAGCTGTACTTTTGAGGAGGTGTTGTGTAGGCAGCTGAGTTCTCTACACTCTTTGGATGCAAATTCCAGAAATCCTCTTGTGGAAGTGTTAAGAGTTTGATGTTAGCACTGGGGGTTCAGACAGAAGCCTCTTACATTTGATCCTGGGAGTCAACTTGATCGATTTCTCGAGGATAGAAAAGGAGAGGCACCTGGGCTTCCTTCCACACAGTTAGCCATATCTGCAGGGGGCAGCTCCAACATGCGTCGCTTTCGGCGAGATATGAAGATCTACTTCCATTTCCTCAAGCACAATTTGATCAGATCGGGGGGGACCCATTGGCACCCAAGTTCTTTGCATTCCTCAAATCATCATCCTTTATTCCTAGTTGCCTGCACTGCATGTGTTCCCTTTCAAGAACTGAATTCTTTCTTTCTTTTTTTTTATTCTGGCTTCAGAAGGTGCACATAGTCTCTGAATAAGTGCTGTAATCATGGCAATTTAGGTATGGAGTAGTTCTCAGATCATGAAAACCTCTCTCAATCTGTGCTCCAGCTCATCATCAGTTTGTGTTGACCTCTCTGCGTTGAACTCTTTGAGGCACAATGATCTGAACATGATCATCGGGGAATACTGTGTGAAGAGCTACTGTTCCGTTCTTATTGGAGACGGCAATTTTGTCAGAAATCCTCTGCACGATTGATTGGACAGCTACTACTGGAAGCCAGCCAATGTGAGAGATGAGAAATTCTGGACACAGAATTCACGCTGTTTCCGGTGCTGTGTTGATGTCACCTTCAGTCCTTCACTATGAAATTCTGTAGTAGTAGTAGCCTTCAGTCTTGTACTTGCAGCAACACACAAGTTGTAGCAGCTTCAGTTTTTGTTTTGACCATGTACCTTCGACTTCAAGCTGAATGTGACAGTAAAAAAAAAAGAAGAGGATTTTTCCCCTATCTATACAGCAATTCCTCTCTTCAGACTTCAGAGTGCTGGTGAAACTACCCATATACTTTTTCTCTGAACTTGATTGGAATGATCAGAGGTTTGGCCATGTCATCATACATGAACAGCAATCTTTCTAATTGGACTCCCTCACATCACAGGTGAACAAGGTTGGTTAGTTCTACCTCCAAGTCCAAAAGGCAACTACTTTTTTCTTTCTTTCTCTTGGGAGTTCCCAGTGATGGCAACCCTTGTCTGCCACTTTGCTTGGTACTGCTACTGGATCAAGTGACCCATCATAGGATGAGAGGACAAGATCCTAAGCAAGAAGGTATCCTGAAATTGCAATCTTCAGAAACTATTATGTCCACTCACTCAATCAAGATTACAAGGCATCCAAACTAGTAGTAGTACTACATCTTCTTTGTCAAATGCATGTTGGGCATGTGTTATTCCTTGGACTTTGTTTGTCTGGCCACAGTGGTCACCACAGGATTCCATGGGAAGCTGCTCATGTCCAGAAGCCAAAAGAGGAGAAAGTGACAGCAAAAGCTTGCAAAATGTGCAGGATTAGTGGGCCAAGAAAACAGATAGACAGAGAGGAGCTTTGTTTGACAAGGAAGGAGACAGTGCAAAGAGAATATTGGGAAGCTTGATGAGGCCAATAAGTGCTCTTTCTTCCTCGGCAAATTCTTCACTGAAAGTAAAAACCGATCGATCGATTCTCGTGTGTCCTAATCGGGCACGTCTCTCTTCTCTGTCGTCCTCTCGTGCATTCCCTTTGCCAATCACAGTAATCTAATCTCTGAACATTGGACAGGGACGGCTCGTCGAGGCTGCACCTGTCGAAACGGGGAGAAATTAAATCTCTGAACATTTGGACAGGAATTTTCAGCACTTGGTTAGTTATACTTTGTGTAAAGTTTATATCTGAAAGGTGACATTACTTCGACGAAATCTGACGAGTGACAAGGCTCTTGAGCATGATTCAATGCATGGCGTAGTTTTGGTTTATTCAGGATCGAGGTGATCACAGACCGAAAGAGAGCATTTTGGCTTTACAAAACGAATCATCATGGAAAATTCATTTGCTGGTAGTGTTAGGCACCTTTGTAGCTTCTGTCTTTTTTTCTTTTTTTAACTTTCAGGTTTTCTTTTGACAAACCAGTCACTTTTTTCTCTTATCAAATTAGCTACTGTAGTAGGCTGTATTCCTCCAGATCACGTCTCATATGATCGTTCAAGCTTCAGCAAGAACAGTTGGGGAATGTTAGATTTGGGAGGCGAGAATCTATGTCGACCCAAGGAAAGATGAAGGTTAATCGTGAATGCTAAAAGCAACTCCAGTGAAATTCTTGACAAAACATATTTCACAGATGAATCTCTGGGTATTGTTTTGGAAAAGACAATACTCACAGATTGCGCCAAAAATGCTATTCCCTCTGTTTCTTATTTTTTTTATGATGGTGGTTAGTTAAAAAATGAACTAACCAACGTTTCTTTTTTTTTAAAAAAAGGATTCTGATATCCCATGTCAAAATAGATATGTTTCTTTCAAGCGAAAAAGGCAAAGAATGAATAATCAATGACAGCTAAAAGCCAATTCTATCACACAAGCATAAGTACCGCATGGATTCATAAAAGAAAAGGTGAGCATGTGAGCATAAAGCATAGTTGGAGCTGGGAAATTGCAAAGCTATCATAAACATACATTCAAATTTAACAAATGCAGAATGTTTAATAATATCACAGTGGTTCATGTCAAAATCCCTTTCACATGAGTTGCCAAGTATACCATGGAAAAGCAGTAACTATTCTTCTCAAGCACATCAGATACGCTCTATAACCCACATCAGATAAAATCGATCAAAATTTAAGCAGAGCAAAAAATGTTAATCCCATAGCCATCAATTGAGGTTACTCACTTGCTCTAGCAAATCCTGTAAAATCTACTTTCACATACTCAACCTCTAAATTGAGCTGCACTCCTCATCATGATATTTGCATTTCCTTACCCATGGACAAACTTACATTCTCTGATTCTCCCTTTTCCTCTTCCTCCTCCTCGCCCTCGCCGTCGCCTCTGCCCCCTCCCTCTCTGCACAGGCTGCTCCCTATGCACTGCGGTGGTATTTGGCACTTCGGTGGCCTTTGCCTTCTGTAGTAGCTGCTTCTTATGCGCTCTGCTGATCTCATCAGAATCGGAACTTGACACTTCGGTGAGCTGGACAGAGTAATCCTTCGCTTTTCACTTTGGCTGCATCCGACGCGGTATGGCGTCCTCAGCATAATCGCTCCCATGCGGTTCGACAGTCTTGACAGCGTCATTCTTTTTCTCTTTGGCAGTCTCAACAAAATCAGGGTTTGCACGGCCAGTAATTTGCATTTTCAGCTCACCTAAATCTTTGGTGAGTAGGTCTAGAGCAATGAAATGGTGGAAGTTTTCATCATCGGCAACATCAGCCTACAAAACCAAGCAGGAGCAAATATATAACAGCATTCCCAACATATAACATTGGAGTTCACATGCAAATTACTTGCACAAGCTTACATTGGCTTGAAACTCGATGTGTTCGAGGCCTTTGAGCACTACTCTGATTAGGGTACCCTGCGGGATCTTCTTTATCTCGATGTCATGTATATCAAGGTGTGACTCATGGTAGAAGTTGAATGCTGTATAAACAAATCCTACAATTTCAGGCAGAACATTAAAAAGGAATGCCATTTTATTCGAGGATAGGATTTTTCTAACCATTGTATGTTGAAAACACAAATAAAATGCTGAGAAACAGCAAAAAACAGTACCATGATTTAATGAACTAAAGAGAAGACTCTATCGAAATTTATGCCAATGGACAAATTCTGCAAATGTTTTGATCATACTGACAAAGCAATTGCTACACTTTACAATTCTATTTACTGGCTTTGATCAACCACACAAGTTTTCAAGACCCAATTGAACATTGTATTACTTTAAAAATGTAACTTAGCAAAGGCAAAAACAACTGTCAACAGTCGCCGCAATGTTACAATACTGGCCTCAAATATGCTGCATCATTGGTGTTACCTTCATGACTCATGCTGAACTAACTATTTGGAGTCAACCCTGAAAATCTAATGAAGTCATGAATCACCCAATAACTCCGAATAACACATGAAGCACAAAGAAATATAATGCTAGGTGAAACCTAATTATCCAATTCTTCTTCCACCAGGCAAACCAACCTAAAGCAAGACACTTTTTATCTTCTAGGTTATGATTTAACAGGAATGCACGTGCCCATTTTATTTGGAGATAGCTAATAACATCCTAATAATGGACAAAGAAAAGAACAGAACAATGGAAAATTAAATAAACAGGGGAATAGAATATCCCATGCCAAACCCCGCATCAATGTTAAGCTTTAAGAGTTATGAACCTGTCCTACAGATTTGGTAATATACCTTACTATTTACTACACCATAAGAAGATGGTGAATTTTGAAAGAAATGGGAAGTGAGCTGTTGGAGCCAACAAACCAGTCCTTTTGGACAAACCATGAAATCCTTTTGGATTTAAAGTGAGCATGATCAGTCCAATATTAGAAAAGCATGGCTTCTGTTTTATGGTTCAGACATAATAAAAATCCACATTGGTGAACTATTTGATGAACCCTCAAGGACACCACATTTTGACCAAAAAACAAACAAAAAAATCAGATTTAATAGAATGACATAACCAATAATGGAGATAAATATGAGAAAAATCCACCCATTATACCTCTTTCTGCAGATTAAGCAAAACTTTTTAATTGCTTTATTCAAACTAATAACAAATGATAGACATGGAACAATTGCTTTGCTTTCTACTTTGCAGTTATAAAGAACTAACAGGCCGATATACAGAGAACTCCCTATGAATAAGATGAATATGGGAAAAGAGCAAGAATGATTAATGCAGAATCCAATCAAGTATGCACAAGGCAGACCAATTTTCTTGGTACGTCAATCAATAATCTGCAGACTTTACCTCAAACCAATCAACTATACACCAATTTTTTTCTTCATATGTCGATTACCAATCTGCATGCTCCCATCTATTTGGCAAGCCCTAATATTGAAATGGATCAACTCAAGAAACAAATAGGAAGCAACCTACATAACATGGGCAGTCTATTTGCTGACTATTCTTCATATGTTCTAAGCCCTGCCATTTCAAAACCAAGAACTTTGTGCAGCTGATCATTTGGTCAATCGCCAATGAAGACAATGGCCATAACTGACCCAAAAAGGGACTAGGAAATGAGAAATCTCATTCTCATGCAATCAAGAGATGAGATAACTAAACTCAGGAGGTCAAACCTGACTCAAGGAGGTAGCGATAGACAGCAGCATTGAGGTCATTTGCCGTGAGATCCTCAGGATTCAACCCTGCCATTGGAGCCCACGCGAACAAAGCCAATGCTTTCTTGGAAGCTAGCAAAGAGACAAGACTTGTATAACCTACTAACAAATAATTGGGAGCTATGCGGCAAATGTGAACGATTATCTAACCAAAAAGTTTAGCGACAAATAAGATACTTGCACTCCTTGAAAGAATGCTTGCTAATGGCTAACACCAGCAATTTGTGTGACATTGTCTTCATCCAAACCAGCAAAGTTTTCTTTGCAAAATTTCACCAAACCTTATGATTCCATCCTTTTGTGATGAAAATGGTTGACGTGATTTGGCCAAGAATTGACTAAGTCAGAATTTTTGCGTCAAAAAACAAGACAGAATTTTGCAAACATTTCGGCAACAGATCGATCGTAGCCAATACAAAGGCAAATTTTGTCTTTTTCAATAACTTTGTTCTATTATATGGCCTATTTTGTTCTATACCGAGCAAGTCAACAGTTCATAAAAAAAAAGACTTATTTGTCACTATTTCTAAGTTCTGACCGTTGTCTGTTATCTGAATTTTGTTGATTCAAATGCATGATGTTTTATGGGAGCATAGCCTCGTTCTGAAATTGCCTTCTTCGCGACTCTGCTGACATCATCATCGCCATTGTATGTGTGTGTTTTATCCATACCTTTTTTTTTTTTACTTTCTGTGTCCTTTTTATCACTGTCTTAAGAACGATGGCAATATGTGCTGCTGCAAGTTAATCCTAACAACAAGATGAATTATGCAAGAATGGAACCTGATTTCTACAGATTCTGCTATACTTTTTTCAGACTGAGTAATCATAAGGTAGACAAGTAATACTTCTGTCTCATGTTTCAGAGTTAGCGAGAATTCATATGGGCCGAACTATTCAGTGAAACAAGAAAGAGATAGTACAAATATGCAATGGCCCGATCAATGACAACTTTTGTTCACAATAAGCAGGGAAATAAATGCCCGTCTCTCCTCACACGTGTTAAAATTCTTATCAAGCAAACAAACCAACAAATTGAATCCAGAAAGAACAATGGAATGAAGGAACAATCTACCATACGACCAACCAAGTAGGAAAATTTATTCATACGAAGCAGGATAAACCAAATGTTAATCAGGGAAAATTTCTTCTTCTTTGTCTTAATTAAGAATTCACATGAATATGTCTACTTGGCGAATCCAAAACATACTAGTGATATGATGAATTGGACCCAAAGAAAGAACAAACAAAAGTGAAATGCCACAATCCTATCAAAACAGCACAAAGGTAAGCATGTTCTTCTGTTCATACTACAAAACTCAATCCAACGCAACAAAGCAAGAATATCACCCATCTTTATATTTACTGAAACTAATCAAGAACTGACAAGCTATTTGCTGCTGCCCCACGCGTCAGGTCGGATCGACCAAAGAAAGAACCCCAAACGGCCGAAACCCACAATGCTGCAACACACAACGCATTATTCGATTCCAATTCATCCTGAGCCGTACAAACAACGCCAAGAAGATAACCCAGACGCGTCGCGAGCCAATTGGTGAACCCCAATTTCAAGAACAGGAGGGAGCGCCCCAATCGCAAAAACCAAGAAACGGAGAAATGCTAACGCGCGGGGCAGTCGGGGTTCGGGAGGAGGGCAATGGAGCCAAACCTGGCTCTCTCCCCAGGAGGTAGAGGACCGCGTCGGCGGCGGCCACGGATGTCGCCGGACTTGAGCGGCCGCGGCCGGGGCCCTCCCCCCGCCTTTGCCGGACGACGCTACAGCTACACCCTGTCCCTCCCGCGCGCGCAAGAAGCCAACCCCCGCTTTCTTGGAGTCCGGCAGACGGCAGTCAGGCAGCAGGCGATGAGGTCGGGCTCTGGCCTCTCTATCTTGCTCTCTCGCTTTGCCGGGGAGAGAGACCTCGAACTCCAAATCCTTGGGGTTCTTGGTGGAAGACGAGGAAGAAAAAGGGGAAGGCTTCGTTCGGAGAAGACGAGGAGGCGGGTTTGCTTCTTGCGAGGCGAACAAATATGCACTGGGCTGTTCTATGTGGGCTTATTTTGGTTGGGCCAAAGGCCCAAATCCCAGGGAAAATACTACTGTACACTTCTTTCATTATTGAAAATAAAATGATTGTTTGTCCGTATAACCACCTAGATACCTTAAAGAAATAAGCTAAAATGTCAAACCCGGTATATTACAAAGTAAAACCTGCATGCGTATCTATTGTAGATTTTAATTTGATCTTTTGAGTAATTAATGGTGAAAACTTTTGATTAAATTGCATGAACTTGTTTTTGGCACAACACAATATGTTGATGAGAATGCAAGCACCGGGGTTGTGATTCCATTTACGAGTATTCAAATCCTAGTGGTTATAAATATTACACATACACATGCACTTTTAATAAAAATATAATGAAGTCAGTAATTTGTTACTCCTTCCGTTTGATATTATAAGTTGATTTGACTTTTTTTCCCAAAGTCTAATCAAGTTTATAGAAAAATATAGAAATATTTTCAATACAGAATAAACATATTATAAAAATATATTCAATGTTATATTTAATTAAACTAATTTGGTCTGATAGATTGATGTTGCTAATTTTTTTTCTATAAATTTAGTCAAACTTAAAAAAGTTAGATTAAGAAAAATGTTAAAACGACTTATAATACTCCCTCCGTTCTAAAATATAAGCATTTTTAGTTATAAATCTGGACAATTGTATGTCCAGATTCATAGTGAAAAGTTGTTATATTTTAGAACGGAGCTAGTATAAAACATAGGGAGTACTGATTTATGTCTCCTTAAGCATGTATTAAGTAACGTACTTATGGACATGTACACCTTTCATTTAATTGCGAAAAGAAAAATGATTACGAGAGAGGGGAGAGGGAAGTCCAGAGATTAGACCATCAGGATACAGGGACGATTGAGTTACACACTAGACGCAGATAAGCAGTGGTTGCAGGCAGGATGATGGGGAGCAAGAAACCCAGAACTCTGCATGTACACGGAAGGAGAACAATCCTCAGGCCGTACGGTACCGTAAATTGTTCAAATTGATCTTGGATTTAAAATCAGAGCCTCAGTCCTCAGAGGATGTTGCATCGCGGCAAAATCACAGAAATCTACAGCTTTTACCTTATTATGTTTGGATCCAGGAACTTAACTTTAATCTTTATATTTAGACACTAATTTAGAGTATTAGACTACTTACAAAACTAATTACATAAATGAAAGCTAATTTGCGAGACAAATTTTTAAAGCCTAATTAATTCATAATTAGATAATGTTTACTGTAGTATCACATAGGCTAATCATGGATTAATTAGGCTCAATCGATTCGTATCGCAAATTAGTCCAAGATTATGGATGGGTTTTATTAATAGTCTACGTTTAATATTTATAATTAGTGTCCAAACATCCGATGTGATAGAAACTTAAGGGCCTCTTTGAATCGTATGAATGAAAAAAACAGAGGAATAGGAAAAACATAGGATTCTGACAGGAATACAATTGTAAAACAGAGAATTGTAAAACACAGGAAAAACACAGGAATGACCATTTGATTGGACCACAGGAAAAACGCAGGAATCAGATGAAAGAGATAACTCAGAGGAAATGTTCCAAGAGGTTAGACCTCTTGCAAACTTTCCTCCAAAATGTGCATAGGATTATTCATTCCATAGGAATTTTAAAGGATTGGATAAGATTCAATTCTTTGTTTCAAAGGCCTTCATAGGATTTTTTTTCCATAGGATTGAAATCCTCCAAAATTTCTCTATTTTTCCAACAAATCAAAGGGGCCCTAAAAGTTTTAATCCCATATAAACAGGGTAACATTGAACAGGAAAGCTGGTCACCAGGAACTCTGCACAGATGTGATGGTAACCGCTCTACTATCGCGGTCACCAGACTTACCAAGCCGGGTATGAATTGAGAAATCTCCATGTAAACGGAATAAGTTAACAGAAAATCAAACAAAAAATTAACTTAAAAGTATAATATGTCCAGATTTTATCAGTTTTCATCGGTAGGTGCTAATCGACAAAACGCTAGCTAGGGAGCGGTTTCCAGTAGCAATCTGCAAATCAAGAAAGAAAGAAACGAATATGTATACCAGTCGGCAAAAAGAATTACAGTAGTAGTACACATCTGAACATACACACACGTAAAGGTGATCAATTTCCGAAAGATTCCAATGCAAAAAGATGACAAAGAGCCAGGAGATGGTATTGATAGAATCCAATGTAGTAGCATCCATGCAACGAAAGAAAGAAAAGGGGGGCAAAATTCAGTTGGCCATTTCCCCTTCTTAGAGTCCGAGGCCTAGAAGCAGCCTCCCCGCGAGGCGAAGCCCACCGGCGAGCAGGCCGCGGCCCTCGGCGAGCATCATCCGACCGCCGTGAACGTCCATGCCCGGTTCAGCCACCGGCGCCATCGCCGGCGCCGGCGGCATAGCCGTGCCCGTGTACTCCACGTCGTCGAGCAGGCGGCGCGCGTCGGCGGCGGCGACCATCCAGCCGGCGGCGAGGAGCAGGGCCAGGAGGCAGGTCGCCGTGGCCAGAAGCTGGCTCGCCGCCGCCATGGTGTATGAATCGATCTTGCTCGTGTTGCGTGGTTCGTGTAGACTAGCTACTCAATCCGTCAATGCACCTGTGACTGTGACACCGTGTGTGATCGAGCTTGTGACTATATATATATATATAGGCGTTCGATCGATCTAGCTGTGAGCACCAACAATTTGACGCCGATTCTTCGTGTGGGCGTGTGGCCTTGTCGTGTCGGTGCACGCATGCGTTCCGTTCCGGGGCGTAGTCAAAGCACGGCGCAATTGGCTAAGTTTGTGTTGGCCGACCGGACCGCATGTGCAGGCACGTTGGTTGAAAATACATGCGCCGCATATACATACATATTACATACACGCGGGCTCAGCTAGCTGGCTCCTGCACACATTATGCACCCCCACTAAGGTTGATTAATAATTACCTGATCGACTTGACCTGCATTACAGAGTCATCAATTCAACGGGCAACCGAACTACTCCCTCCATCTCTAAATATTTGACGCCATTGATTTTTGTGAAACATGTAAAAATATATAAAAGTATATATTTAACAATTAATCAAATGATATGAAAAGAATTAATAATTATTTAAATTTTTTAATAAGACGAACTGCTAAATATATTTAAAAAAGTCAACGATGACAAATATGACAGATGGAATATAATAGTTGTACTACTGCCGCATAACAAGATTTTTACCCCCCTTATTTTTTTCTTTAAGAAAAAGGCACGGGAGCCTTGCTGTAATATTGGAAGAGGAAACATGCAAGGGAAAATTTATAATGTACAACAATTAATTAGTACTCCCTCCTTTCCACGTTATAAGATATTTTGGTCTCCCATCCCTCGTCTAGATTCACTAAGGGGTTGTTTGGTTGGCTACTAAAGATTGCCATGCCAAATTTTAGGTATACCATAATTTGTCAGTATAACTAGGTTGGCTCCTAAAGGTTGCCATGCCAAATTTTAGTCATGCCATAATTTGTCAGTATAAGTAGGAAGGCAGCCCGCGCATTCACTCGGGCATACATCATAGGTTTCATTTGAAAACGGATCATATTTATTGGATAGCCTCTGTCATGTTTTGGAAGTACGTTTCCTCAACAAATATTTTTCGTTAGCATCACTTTGATAATTTCTCTAAGCTATATACTATATACTCCCTCCATCCCATAATATAAGGCATGGTCAAATTTGGCACAGTCTTCAAAACTAACATTTGATTTGTAATTATAATCATCTTAAAGTAAATTTAAATGTCTATCCAATGATATTAATTTTAGCAAATAAAATTTAATTTATATTATAATAATTGTTGGTCAAATATTTTTAAAGTTGAATCTTGAAATGTGTGCACGCCTTATATTATGGGATAGAGGGAGTACTTATATAGTATTTCATTAATCTGTATAAGCAATATCTATAATCTTCACTATCATCTAAAAAAGGAGCTAGACCTAGTTTGTTTAGAAAACATACTTATTAAATTAAAAGCAAGGTGTTTTTTTTCTTTTTTTTTATTGAATGCTTTGGGCCCCATTGGTGAAAACGTAAGACCTAGCTAAACTCATTGTTCCTTTTCCCCCGCCATACGGTTTTCATGCAGCTCCTAGTCACCGTGTTGAAATGTGGTCATTGCACCTATGGAGGTTGTCTTGTGATTCATCGTAGTGGTGATCACATTTTTGGTCAAGCTTAGTTAGTCCTATTTTCATGTCATGTTATATTGTAAAATCTAAATGGGTTCCAAAGTTAATCCTTCAAGTATATATATACAACAAAATAATATTCACAGACGATTAATGTCCATATATAGGGATGATTCACCTTTTGAATGGTCAATGCACAAAGAAAATAAATGGAGTTACCCGGAATACGTAGAAGGTTAGAACAACACGCTTGAACATAGATCAATGATATACTAAGAGTGCATTAAGCACCATCTAAAGTCAATTAAATGGTTACATAGTTTAGAGTAAATACATGAAAGATCATTTAGCTTGCTTGGATTATTTTAGCACATTTTTTAAAAAATCACAAAGTAATTAGATTTTTTGCTCTAACTAAAGCCATTGGATTTTCTATGCATTGGTGGTTTGGACTTCATATTTTAGTTAGTCCTATTTGCTTAGATAGTGTATATCTAATTTAGCTATGCATGTTTGAGAAACAACATATGATGATGCAACCTGTATTGGATTATTTTGTAATTCTTTTACAACAATTCAAATGACATGTAAAAGGGCAGGGGTGTTCTTCCTCAATAAAAAAATGTTTCATAGTTCGCTTTGTAATTTTTGTTTGGATATTATTGATTTAATTTAGCTATGCGTGTTTGCAGAATGATGTATAGTGATGTAATATATGTATCCAATTTGTTTAAGGTATTTCAATCATATTTGGATGGTATGAAAAGCGCGTGGGCTGAATGTGGTCGAATGTCATATTTTGTATATAGGAAAATATAAGGATATGGATCTTAAATTCCTAGTTTATTATAAACAGAGCAACAATTATGTTAGAAATCAGATGTGTAGCTCTTAAAAATTATGGTTGTTTTAATATATTGATTATCTCTCTTTTATAGTTTACTCCGACCGAAAAATAGGGATGGATAGGCAGTGGTCTGCGCGCATGTGAGGGGGGTGAGGAGGTATATGCGATTTATTTTTCGAACTTCTCCAAATAATGTAACTTAAAGCCAAAGATAATAGGTTTAATTTTTTTCTAAAAATTTCTAAGATTATTTCTGATTTTCAGGAATATTTTTCGTAAATTTAATCTAACTGTTGAAAATAATGGGTCCATCGATTTAATTGAAATATTTTATAATTTTAAAATGTGACATATGGTGACTTAAGTGTGCTCTAAGGCCGAGTTCTTTGGTTAACTTTCACAACTCACTTCCCTCGTTTTCATGCGTACGCTTCCTAAATTCCTAAACGGAAGTTTTTGGCAAAACATTTATATGTGGAAGTTGTTTTTAAATATCATATTGATCCATTTTTTTTTAAAAAAAATAGCTAGTACTCCCTTCGTCCCAAAATATATGTGGTACATTCTAGTATAACAAATCTGGACATACACCTGTTCAGATTCATTATACTAGGATGTGACACATCCAGTACAAGGTTGCTATATTTTGGGACGGGGGGAGTACTAATTAATGACATACTAATGTACCGCTCTGTTTTACGTAATTGGTGGGAGAGTTCCCAACTCTTGTTACTGAACACAGCCTAAAGGGTGTTTAATTGGTTTTTATTACGTATACTGATTTAATATGAAATAGTAAATGTTGTCATTTTGTTATAATTTTTCATTGTCATTCAGTTGCCCTGCAAAGGAGTATTTTAATTTTTTATATAGTAAAATACAACTATAATGTATATTGAATTATTTAATTAATTGTAAAAAAATAGTCCAAACAAATTAAAAATCAAATATAATTTTAGAAATTTTAAACCATTTAGCTATGTTTTTTAATATTAGGTTATTAGTTAAAAAAATAGAAGGGGAGAGGATCAGAGGAGGTATATGTACAGCAGGGTGATAGGCGGAGATTCGTTTTCCTTTGAGACATATTCCAATGGGTCCTAGTCTTTTGTTATCTATTTTTAAAAGATAGATGTAAAGATAAATGTGCTAGGCATTGTATTTAATAATATAAGCTAACTGTTGCCAATCATATGGTTTAAAAATCTATGTGATTTTTCTAAAAACGTATCGACTGACCAATTGGTAGTCTCAAGCAGTATAGGACCCAAAGAAATACATTTATTTTACTTGTTAAATGTAGTTAATTTGGGTATGGAATTCTAAATTTTATTGTAAATAATCTCATGCCGTGCACATATAAAAAAATAGATTTAGATGGTACATTTGTTTAAAATTTGTTATTATAAAACATGTTTTCCAATATTAATTAAGAAAATATTCAGTCAAAAAAATATTAATTAAGAAAATACTTGAAAATAGGAAGCCATGTCGCCCTCATGTATTAGGGTGAGGGTAGGATGTATGATACGTAACTATGTATGTATACCTAATAACGTAATGGATGGCATTGGTGGGGTGTGCGCCTTTCATTTTTTTTTCTTTATGTAAATCTGATGGTAGAAAATATGGGTCCACCGTATATTAGTGAAAATCAACGGTCATATGTTTTGTTTTTTTCTATAATTTGCTAGAGTGACACATGGTGCGATGAGAACATTTGTGGAATGTCACATGGCGGTTTGGAAGCGTTTTAGAATGTTTAATGAACTTTTAGTATATAATAGATAGATAGATGTTTGGTTGGTTGTCACACTTGTGTTATGTCTTTCCTTAGACGTAAACGTCGTAGACTTAAATTTTTTACCAAACTAATCACAATTGTGGTCAACAAATTGCTAACCTCACTTTATGTGGCATGATACACTTACAGCAAAGTGAGGTGTGTCAAACTTAGCCATCAATCAAACAACCCCTAACTTCCATATGAATTTAGACGCATATATATGAAGCACACACATAGGTTAATGAATGAATCTCTTCGAAACCCAAAACATTTTATGATGCAAAACAGAAAAAGCAAGGGCATGTTTGGTTCGCTCGCCCAGCTAGCCTAGCTCGGCAGCGCTAAACCATCTCTTTGCCAGCTTTCTATAGGCTTACCATGGCTATGGTTTTGCTTCCTGTGGCAAAGATTAATGACTAGCTGCTACAGATGAGTTTAATGGCAAAGATTAATGTATTTCTTTCCTGAGTTCTTCCGTGAATTGATTTTTTTTCTAGATCCAGACTGATTTGTTAGCTGTGTGTTTAAGAGTTGGTGGAGACAAAAATGCTAATTCGCGGCTAGTCACGCGAGCGCTCGCCAGCGCGACTGGACACACGTGGGACGTCTCGCGGAGGGGGGGGGGGGGCTTTTTTTTTTTCTTCTTTCCCCATTTCTTTGTCATTTTTTTGGTTTTTTATAACTCCTGTACCACGTCTTCTTCTGGTCTTCTAGCCATCACCATTTCTGAATGTGTTTACCTTGCCATTGTGTAAACATAGCTTCCATGGAGGCTCATAGGCAGGGACAGAGATAGAACGAAATGGAGGGTGGTGTCACTTACTTAATTTACTCTATATTAGATCAGGTTTAAGCTGATACGGGTGCTAAGTTTATATTGATAGGGATGCATACATGGTAAAAATAGATAAGGTATAGCTAAAAAAATATTCTTGACCGGTTTCCGGGGCATCCCTAATACACTCTACCTCCGCCCCTGCTCATAGGTCACAAGAAATTGGGCACTCGAGAAGAAATCATGAGAAATTGAGTAAACGAGGAGAGAAATCAATGAAATTTGGACCCGGGGGAAGTTAGAAGCGAATTGAGTTGTGGCCCGTCGTTGCCACCACGCCGTGCCGCTTCCCGGCTGCCGCCTGGTGAGGAAACGCACCCACCGTCCATCCCTCTCCCTTCGTGGTTGAGCAGCCCGCCACGGCCGGCACCGCCGAAATCGGCGTGGCGCCGCGCTCATGCCCGCACCAGCGCCAGAGCATGCCATGATCTGATAGGCTCCGGACCGAGCTGCACAAGCCCCTCCACTGCCTTTGAGCGGTTTAGTGCGTCGTCCTCTCGCCGGAAGATGCCTCTAGGAGCCCCATAGTCGTCCCCAGCCTGCGCGTCGCCGATTTTGCCCTGTCGCCGGTGTTTTGCATGCACCGTCGCCCCCGGGTAGAAGGCCGACGACGACCTCGCTCCTTCACACCATCCCCGGCAGCACAAAGCGGGGGAATCATCTCCCCTTGTGACGGTGAAGCTAAGCAAGCCGCGCCGCGGCCAATATTGGCTCGGCCCGAGCTAGCGCCGACGCTGCCATGACCGCCTCGAGCTCCCACTTTCGCCGCCCCTTCCAGCCACATCTTGCCCAGGTTAATTAGCTCTCGGTAGCACCTCCTAGGAACCCCTAGAAGCCCACCACCGGCCTTGGCTTCGCCGCCATGCACGCCGCTCAGCCCGAAGACTGTCCCCGCCCCCAGCCACCGTGGCGCTGCCCAGCGGTGGCCAAGGTTCTCCTAGGCCTCCCATCGCTAGCCGCACCACTCTCCAGCCTCGCGCGGTGCCGTGGGCGCCACCCCTAGCGCCGGCGGCCAGAGAGAGCTGACAGCGGGCCACACTAGGAAATGATTTTTTTTAAAATTTTTTTAATGAAGGTGATTATAATAAGTTAATTAGTTGGTTAATTTGTTAGGCTGACATATGGGTCACAACTGCTAATAACACCTACTTAAAATCATATCTAAATGTGTATCAATGATATGTGGGCCCAAGGCCATTGCCTTGGGCCCACATGTCATTGACTCATTCCTTTTCTTTACAAAAGTAATTGTTTAACTAAAGAAAAGGTTGTGGGGCCTATCTGTCAGTGAGACAATATATTTTCCTATAAAAATAATTCCAAAAATTGAATAAAAGGCAGAACAGGAGCTTTTCAATTAATTTGATTTAATTCAAATTTGAATCTTTGAAAGGCCATAACTCACTCGTTTTAAATTGTATTTCGGTGAAACTTTCACCATAATTCTTCTAAAATCAAGACCTACCCAATGGAACTATGTTTCCATTTTTTACCCATTTTTTTTCTAGGATTTTGCCCCTTGCGTTAGAAGATCGTTTTCACCAAGCAAGGTACGTCTGTGAAGGAGAAGCTGCAGCAGCCGACGAGGAGCCGTTGACTGGACAAGGCAAGTCACTACGCTCCCCACCTTGAGTATGTTGATCCTATTTTTGTAAATGTGTTGATTGCAAATAAAATTGCATGTTAATTATAAAATGTCTACCTAAACTTGTTTGTGAGCCATTCTTGAAATTGTTATCCATATTCCTTGTTCCCTGAGTCTAAAACTTTTGTGTGGTCAATTATTGACATTGGTTAGCATGGCTTGTTTAGACGATTATACACTTCATACTATCGAGCCCCCTTTTAGTGATGCGGCCAGCAACACATCCAGCCCGAGCTCCTCTAAATCATCAGGGTGAGACCTGGTCAGGGCCACCAAGCACGGCTCCTCTGGTTCAGGGGTGCCAATCTCTAGCGATGGAAATCGTCGACTATCATGTACGCGGTGACCCTGGCCTTCACCAATTCCATGATCTACTAAAAAACTGGGCTCAAGCGCCAATCGGGTGGTGTTGCGTTGGTCTATGACAGCAGGCCCATCGTGGAGGCAACAGGGAGGATGAGGCATTCGTGGGGATTCTACGCTGATGTAGACCCACTTCTGGTGCCACTCGTCCCACTTGTCCTTCATGGGGATGTGAAGGAATTCTTGAATAGGGCGTGCGGTGAAGGTGACGCATCCTATGAGCTCCAGCAGGCTGCTCATCTTGCTTTTCGGGGCATGTCGCACCACGAAGGTACGACAGAAGAGATCCACCAAAGGCAGGAGCCCGACGAACATCTTGTAGAAATGAGCAAAGATGGCCAACCATCACGGCATTGGGCGTCAAATGCAGCATCTACAACTTGAACACTTCCAAACCTGCAGGTAGAACTCGGAGAAGGGCGGAACCAAGTCGCCGCCGGCGTAGGCGGTGCAGTACACCACCTTGTTGGGCTCATGGGGCTTGGGGGCAGTTTCCTCCTTTCCGAATAGAGATTGCTGCCCGATGCGCATTGGGAGCGGCATCAGCTTCTGCATCTTCTCCTTCCTGTCGTCATCATCCATGAGAGATGGGGGAAGTGCGCTCTCTGCCAAGGGCTTGTGGCAGCGATGGTGTGGAGAAGAAAGGTGGCAGTGAATGCAGGGAACTTGAGGGCGGAGGTTGGTGATGGATATTTCACAGATGGGGGGCAATGGCGAGAGACATGAAAATAAGGAAGCGGAAAATGAATCGCTGTGGGAAGTAGGGTTTTTAGGCCCTCACCGCGCCGCTTAGTTTTTGCACCAGCAACACCTCGAAACATGGGGTAGCAGTAGGAAGTTATGGCCATGTATGATCGTGGCCTAAAGCTTGGAAAACCGTCCCTGACAGAAGATGAGACCGATGGGACTTGGCCTTGTTACATCCTCGCTAACAGGTGGGACCTGCAAGGCTGACTCGATCGATGGCTTTGAAGAAAAGGCCCGCACCCAGCGACAAACAATTTTCCATCCTAATTCCGAGGCTAGGGGCAACTGTTGGAGAAACAGGAACTGGGGTCCCCATTCCTCCGGGGCCCTGGGATACCGGGGGCCCACAAAATCACTTCCTACCACATATATAATTCATTGTCACGTCAGAAACCCTGGAAGTGGAAGATGACAATTGGAGATGAATGAGAACCAAGGCCCGTATCCAAACGGGGTTGGGGCACCGATGCTTTTAAAGGTTTTCATTTGGAAAGCCTCAAGAAGAGTGCCCAGACATAAATGATCTATATCTACAAGGTATCAAGAAGAGTGTGGAAACCTACAAGATCTGTATATTCAAGGTACTAAAGTGGATACCTTCGGATGTTAGCATATCCTCCAAGGTTATGTCCATCACTCCTTCATCAATATCTTCGAGAAGCTTGTCAAAGTTAACAAGAGTTCTTATCAAGCAGTGTGGGAGCGCACGGGACCTCGGGAGTACCTAAGGGCCTCGGCCACGGACCATGCCCCGGGCGTGAATCGTGCCCAGAAGAAGATTAGTCCCGAGGATGTAGCAGTTCGGGACACTAATACAGTTCGAAAGAAGGGCTTAGGCATGTAATTACTAGGTGTGGCTGGCAATGCATGTCAATTGGATTCGTCCGATGGTCTATGCAGGGTAGTGAGCCCAGCGATGGGACAAGAAGTAGTGGCATTAAGTCATAGCAGAGCGGCGCAGTGAGAATTACAGCTCAAATGACATGCAAGTAATCAAGCTACCTGCGTCACCCGAAGAAATAGTAGCAGGATGATGCGTTGAGCGCTGGTGAGCAGTTCATGACTTCGCCGTGAAGAAATAAGGCGGGTGGCAAATCTACGGTGTTCTCATTTGGGCCCACTGAGCCCAGTTTCAGAACATGTGGCGCTAGGAGTCTTCTCTAGTTGTCTCGGGCCCCTACTAAGTCCTTCTAGGGCACAAGCGTAGGCCTGATCAGTAGCAATGATTATGTTCAGACTAATGTAACAGATGGGACAAGGTTAAGAAGACCAAGTATAGTCGCTTTCCCATGCAAGAATGTACTCGTCGGCTCTACTTAGGATATAAAAGGATGAGTCCGGCTACTGAGAAAAGGGGGATTTTTTAAAAGAACCTAGCTCAAATAGAACCCTAGCTAATCTCGATGTAAGGAACCTTTTGTAACACAAACACACATAGTCCCAAACACAGGAGTAGGGTACTACGATTCTGAGCGGCCTAAACCTGTATAAGATTGTTTCTTGAGTTCATCGCACGAACATGCTTGACCTCAACTTGCCCCTTTGCTGAATCTCACCCGGGGGGGGGGGGGGGGGGGTTGACGGTCACACCTTAGATTAAAGTTGACTATCAAGCTATTCAAAGATCTACTTTGTTCACTGCTCGACGCTTTGGGTTTTATATTGCGTTTGTTATTTGGCGTGCCATGCAGCGATGAGGTTGGATGGTGATAATTACTATTTGGGTTTTGTTTGAGACACTATCCAACTAAATATTTTGGGTTATTATGCTGAGTAGCTTACATAATATCTAGCATGGACGGAGTGCATGCATGAAGAAATTTGAAAAAGAGGATATTTACTTTTTTTTCCTTTTAATCCAACTACTCCCTCCATTTCATAATGTAAGACTTTCTAGCATTGCTCACATTCATATAGATGCTAATGAATCTAGACATTATATATATATATATATATATATATATATATATATAGTATTTATTATCAACTAATGGATATCCAACAAACAAGGAGGGGTGTACATATTTCTCCGAGTACAAAATGGCGGTCTGTATTGTAAATACATAATCAAAGTTTATATCATGTTTTGACACTGTAATAGCCATCAATGCTTCTTCGAGCTCAAAACTCGCTCGCTAATAGTCCTAATAAACTTGTTAATTTCTCTAAAGTGTAAAACTATATTGTGTCCAGGAATTTCCATAGATGTACTTGTACCAAGAGATAATCTTTGGATCATTCCTATTATATGTCCCGTCGATGACAATACAACATCAGATCTACCTACTGTATGCAAGTTTACCACCTGAAAGTGTTCCGTATCATCAACGATCCTTCTACAGTGACATACCTCTCCAATTGCATAAGAGTAGCTGCCTGAAAGTTCATGAAGAATACTGTATATTTCTTGACCATTAGTAATCTGCGTAGAATCATCTGCTACGTTTGCATAATCATATCCTTCTTTCTTGTTATCAGTTGGTGTAAGAAGCACGAATAACTTGCTACACTTTATCTTCAACCGCTGAAAAGTACCGTCGCTGACTTCTCGACCCAAAATGATACTGTTAGTATTTGGAACACTACTTGATGTGGTTAGAATATGGCCCACATTATTTATAAAAACTCCCGCGGCAAAATTTAAATGTTTTCCACTTCCAATCTTAAGTAGCCAAATACAAGACTTTTCAGAGAATCATAAAATTGTGCTTGTTCTTCTGTTGTTAGATCACGCCCTTTTCCAATATGTGTAAAGGCTTTAAGTGGCATTTTAATATCTCTGAAAATATACATTTGAAACTCAGAATTCATTAAAAACAACAATATTTTTAGTATAACAAATGCATCAATCCCATCTTAAAATACGAGAGCATTCAAGACACAAAAATGCTACAACCTAGAAATTTGTACATTACATGCGCTGCAAGCAAAGTGATATTTGTCTTATTATGAGTTTAATTGTTTAAACATGAGGTTATTCCCAAACTACATGAAAATGCAAGAGCAACAATAGCAAATGATAATTTCCGGCACAATGCAACAACTTACCTATACCAAATGGAACCTCTTGGACATTAGATGGAGAATAGGTCTTGGTTACCGACAATTAACACCAAGTAGATATAAATTACCAAAAGAATAACAGCTTTGGAGCAACACTTCAGAAGAAACACAACGTAAAGAAATTGATTCTTGTTTTTACCAGGAAGATAGATATATTGCTGCAACATGTACCAAATGCAACAGGTAGAATCAAGAAAGGATTGCAATTGTTACTTCCAACTAAGACAACAGAACAAAGCACTGCATGCAATCTTAGTGTGCAACTGAAAATACTACTATCTACTAGAATTAAATACGGACCAAAAGCTCATGCAACACCATTAACCCAAGGTTCAAAACTGTCAAGAAGTGCGTCTTGACTCGTGAAGCATGAAAAGCTGTGTCTCACTAATAATCGCGCCACCACCTAGCCACAAGAACAAAGAATCCCAAGTATTTACTTCCTGCAGATGTGACACGACAATCTACAGTTCAATAAAAATTGGACACAATGAACTTGCTGTTTTAGGAGTACAACGTTGGGAAAAATATCTAACAAGGGACATCAACACTGACCAAACAACAATTCACCACACAGGAATAACCAACATCAGCAAGGCTTCATCACCATGAAGTGGTATGAGTGACAGCACCTCCACAGGTCAGTGCCCACCTAAACGAATCCCACCTATATGAATCCAACAGTAGGAACATCAGAAATGCCACGCCACTAGAGCAGTAGTTCTTGTCCATATCATCCTAGGAACTTGCACCAATGTGTGGCAACAAGCTTGAGGAGCTAGCAGAGCCATATTGTTAGGGACCATGGTCACTTGCGATGACAATCATACGCCACACTCTGATGCCACTGGATTGGAAAGGGACAAGTGTTCTGCCAGAGCTTCGTTGCTGGATGCTTGCGCTTATGTGAAAATGCAAATTGGGTAGATGTGGCCGAGAGGAATAGGAAGGATCAAAAGATAGGAGGAGCACAAGCATCCAACCTTGGTGGACGGCACCATTTACTTTCAGGAGATGAGGTCAAATGGGCCGGACCAATGACTCCCATGATTTGTGCAAGGCTGCAACACAATCCACAACAAATGTTTGGCACCATCAAAATGACGTGTGTCCCTACCTCATATGTTCCAATACACTTGTGGGATACGAAGAAGCCAATAATCGAATATTTCAGTTAATAGTTTAGTTATATTATTTGAACAGTATATAACCTAGGGATGCACTGTTTGTCCATCCACATCAGTAAGCATGAAACATAGCGTGCAATAGACAGAAGAAGCCACAGAAGGTCTATAGATACCAATGTGCACTGCACAATTGCCTGGCTTGATTCACCTGACATTTGTGCATGGTTCACAGGGCTGCACGCACGAGTAAAATCAGGACTGGATACGCGAACATGGACTGATGTAGTTAGCACTCACATGCCAAATTGTTCACTAATGCTGGAACATATACCAACAAGCGCAATACAGCGATTTTGCATGTGAGGCTGTGTATGGTAACCAGTGTACCACCAAAATAGTAAGCACGTAATCCTGTATGTAAACTCTCCAGACTGTCATATCCTACTTGTTTATAATCTACAAGCCATCATGAACAAATGCTTCCAATTTATGAAAATTAACAATCTAAAAATCACAACACTGCAATTATTGTCTATCGATTCAATACTAAACGGGTATGCACTAATCAAATGACAACCATCCTACTATCCAAATGACAACCATCCTAAACAAGAGAGGGAGATTGCACAAAAATCACAGACCAGGCATACAGCAAACAAATCAATAGGAAAGGACGAGGACTCACCAATTCCTCAGGCCTATAGAATCAAATCGAGGACTCCCTGTCCCTGGAGGACCGGCTTGCGCGGGCGCCCGTCATCTCGGTGGCCATGCCGCATGGAGCTGAGACGAGGAGGCTGCCTACCGCCGCAGACCGGACCGGCCTCACGAAGTGGCTCCGCCAAGAACCGTCCGAATCGCCTCCCGTCGACCTCCTCCTCTCCCTCGCCTGCCGATGCCGCCGCCGTGGTGCCGCGGGTAGGGTTCCGCTAGAACTAGTGCCGAGGGCGACGCGGCGATCTCGATGCGGCCGGCCCACTGGCCCAGATTATTTTGGGGGAAATCCAACGATCCGTCGTAGCCGGCCTCTCTCGCACCGAGCAAAGGGCTTGTTTGGATCAGTGCTTGTGCTTTTTGGTAGTGTCAAAATATAGACAAGTTTTAGCACTACCAATTATTTGGTAGAATAAATTTGTATTCACCTTATTTAGTTTGCTACCAAAATGTAGCCAAATTATAATACCATAGTGAAAGTTCTCAATTGCTACCAAATTTACGATGGACATTACCAAAATATTGGTATCAATCCAAACAAATGGTGGGTACTATTTAGGCTACCAAAATATTGGTAGGGTAAATTTTGGTAGCAATCTAAAACTGCCCAAAATTCCAATGTGCTCCTTAGTTTTACCCCTTAGACTCGTTCAGAAGCTCCAAATCTAAACTACAACTTCTCCGTTCTCCATTAGCACGTTCCCAAACTACGCAAAAGTTTTTTATATAAAATTATGCCAAAATTAAAATATATATAGTTTATAGTTTTTAATAATTAATATTTGATTAATATTTTATAGTTTTTAATAATTATGTCAAAATGAAAAAAATATGACCTGTTTTGTTTTGAGTAACAACAAGACTAACCTCTAAAAGCAACGATCGAAAAGCAGCCTTAGTCCAAAGAAAATAGTATAGTACTGTATGAATCCAGCACGTTGCTACAGGAGTATTTTATAATATTAATAAAATAACAAGTAAAAGATTTACTCTTTATATAATTTTATCTCTGATTGGCTATTAAAAAGGTCTAAACAATTAAGATGATGATATAGTTTATAACAATTTAAATCAATATAGGATTGGTCGTTCAAAAGCAAAATTAAAGGTAATGTCGTTCAATGAGAAATGGAAAAGAAAGAGTGTAACGTAGATTTATTATCCAAAGGAAAAATTAAGGTGATATAATTTTATAAGAGAAGACACAAAGGAAGATGATTAGGACCATAGATCAGTCATTCAAAGCTAGAAATAATTAAGATGATGTGGTCTAATGAGAGAAGAGAGAAATAATATTAATTATACTTAGTGAGAACTTAGTGAGATGAACTTTATAGATTTACTTCTCTTAATTGACCGTGAGTTGCACATTATTTTTTTTTACCAAGTTGCCCTCTCTTAAAATGATAATCTGTATGAAAAATCAAAAGCCTCTTACAGACGAAAAATCCCAAATTAGCAAATATCCAGAAGGGTGTGGAAATCCAAACTTCCATATTCAAATAACTTCACCCCCCACGTTTGAAATCAAAATACAAATTCTTAAATGAAATTCAATCAAATTTGGACGATATTCAGAAGGGGCAAAATTACCAAAATCACCTTAACTTCCATCTTTCCCCTTGAATTTGAAACAGGATTTAATTTTTTAATTAAATTCAACCAAATTAAAAAACAGTGAACTGTGGTGAAATTAACCAAATAACCAAAAATTTAGGTAATTTTATGTAAAATAGGGAAAACGTTATCTTTTTTTATTGAATTTCAATCCAATTAGTTCACTTCAAATATGATTGAAATTTGTGCAAGAACTAATTAAATTTTGGTTTCTAATTTTTCTTGAACTTTGAAGTGATTTGGGTAATTTTTGTTTGCTTCAAAACATTCATACAATTGATTTTTTTCTTAGGGTTTTGTTTTATATAACAAAAAACTCATGAAACATAGTTCCATGAGGAGATTTATTTTGTCTCGGGACGATTAAAAGTTGTGATGGGAAGTTTACAAAAATGGAGTAGAAAGAAGTTTGGTTCAGTGAAGAAGGAGCTTGAGGGGCTTTGGAAACAACTTGATGCACTGCTCATGCAAGGGAAGGGTGTACAAGATCAGGAGTACCAAACTGTCTCTAGAAGAATGGAGGAAATTTTGTACAGGGAGTAGATGATCTTGTTACAGAGATCACGCATTGTGTGGCTCCGGGAGGGGGACCGTAATAGTACATCTTTCTTCCATCGCAAGGCTACTTGGCGACACAAAAAGAACAGAATTTGCAGGCTGCAGAAAACGGACGGCACATGGACTGAGAACAGAGAGGAGATGGCAAATGTGGCCACAAATTTCTTCAAAAATCTTTATATATACCAGCGATCCCACAGTTAATCTCTAGCCATTACTTGATATGGTTCAGGCAAAGGTTACAGAGGAAATGAATGCAGATCTCTGCAAAAGCTTCTCAGATGATGAAATCACCAGGACCGGACCGGATGGTTTCCCGGCAATATTTTTTTTAGAAAAAATGGGAAATCTTGAAAATTGATATTTGCAGTGCGGTCAAAAATTTATTTGAGCACCGTACCGAATATGCCTGAAGGGGCTGAATGAAACATCAATAGTGTTAATTCCACAGAAGAAGGATGCTAAAGAGCTTAGAGATTACATACCATCAGTCTATGCAATGTGATTTATAAAATCATTGCAAAATGTTTGGTGATCGAATCGTCTAAGACCAATCCTTCAGGCAGTGGCAGACGCAAGATGAAAAAAAAAAGATGGCGTGGATATGCCCGGTTCATAAGGACAACTAAATACAATAAATAGCATAATTGTATTGGAATCACATAAGAACATACTATAACCAATAAATTAAGGCAACAAAAACTATTTTCAAGTAAAGCAATAATCTTTACGCCATATATAATTCATCATATACCAAAAGATAATAGTAAACATGTCAATTTGCAAATATAAGTCAATTTATAAAGCATGGTTGATGGTGTGAAATCATTGTCGTCATTAATATTTGTGATGAACAATTATTTGTGATGAACAATTAGCTTTGCAAAATGATTTATTCGATGAATTGGTTTGAAAAGATACGTGGATATTGGTGTGAGTGCGTGTGATTAATGTGAGTCATGTTATGATATCTGTCCCCAGGAACGGTTGTTTTATCTGATTGTGTGCAGGTGACTTGAGGTCAGCCTTGGTCAATGGTGAGGACCGGGACTATGCTCAGGAAGGAGCAGAGGTGCAGTCGGTATACCATATGAGAAGATGACTAGAGTCAGGATTCTTGAAAGACAACTTCGGTCAAAGGGGATCAGGACTAGATTCAGGGAGGAGTTAAGATCCAGATGGTCAAGGATACCGGGTGACAAAGTTGGATACGAGATGGCATACGGTAGATGGACACCGTGTGGGAGAGATCTTCGCAACAGGCTTCACGTGGTGTGCGTGCAAGCGTCGGTGTTCGCGAATGGAATTGAAAGAGAAAAGTTGGAGGTATATGGTGCTACAGTACACAAGGCACTACTGTAGCACGCAGGTTATATGTATGCATATACGGTCCTGTACTTGTGTAGTTGATTGCTTGGATTGCATGTGTGTTGGCCGGCTCAGGTGAGGCAGCAGCATGCAACGGCTCGCATGGCAGGAGCGGCAGCAAGGCAGGAGGCCGACTTCGATGCGGATTTTGATACCGAGACGGATACGTGTTAATGGAGGATTCGTGTACGTCAATGGATGATGAGATTTGCTGTGGTCGGTTGTTGGCTGCAGGTTTGGTAATTGTATTTTGATTTGAAAATCAAGAATAGAGTCGTAGTAGAACTAGGAGTTGCACTCCTATTTTGAGTAGAAGATTTTCGGTATAAATAGAGAGAGAGGGTATGTCTTGAGGGTAAGTTAAGTTTGAAAGATTAGATAAGGTTTCGTGAGAAACTTGTAAGGAGTGCTGTGGTTATACCTTGTGAACAATATACTTGAGCAATAAAGACCATATTCAATCATCAAGACATTGACGATCTATTCCAGTTTTGTAGGTTTTATGTTTATGTTTGGTTTTGGCATTAACTTGTGATTATTCGTTTTGCTGCGATTTTGTTCAAGTTAATCCATCCAAAACCTTTCTAATACTTCATAGATTAGATTTGGAAAGTTTCGTCGATTGGTTCTTGTTAGATTTGAATTTGCTTAAGTTTTAGGTTTAGTTCACATGTGTGAAATTCTGAGACAGCTGACTTTCAAGGGTGTTTTCTCTTAAATCTTTTATTAGTTTGCAAATCCCTCCGGTGGAGTTATTTCTTAGTTTGTCTAGTTTATTATGTAAAGTTTGCAACTCGATCTAACGGTTGGTTTAAGAGAAATCATATTTTTACCTAAGCTCTATCGTGTTGTTTTCAGGCTGACGGTCAGACCGCCGAGTGACCTGCGGTCAGACCGGTCAGGCTTCGGTCAGACCGACCCTAGTAGGTCGGATAGACCGCCGAACGTGTGTTCGATTGGTTTTTGAGGTTGGGGTGTGTTTTGATCTATTAAGATTCGATTATTTGACTTCCGCTGACGTAATCTACCATTCACCCCTCCTGTGGTAGGCTTGGTTATTTGTGTTCGATCCTACAGATAAATATCTTTAAAAATTGATAAATATATGAGAAGTCATACCTTGATTCAAAAGAGAGAAACAACTAATCATTTGTTGCTCCTTATTGGCCCATTTGTAATAGTCAATCAAATTTAAAATTCCACAAGTGACAAGTCGATGATATACATTGATCTTTAAAACTCTTGCCGATGATATACTACTACAGGAACAATTTTCCTGTACAAAGAGGGGCTATATGTTCCAGGCGGGCCATAAGTAGCCGTGTGTGGAAAAAAGGGTCCCCCGGGGCCGGCTGATGGACCGCACGCGTAATTGCATTATTGTGTGCGGTCCTCCTATGGAACCGCATGCGATAATGCGCCCATATTACGTGCAGTCCACTTAAGCGACCGCGCGCGATAATGCTTTTTGACGTGCAGTCGCCTATATATTCATTGGTTGAATGCAGAGGTAATTGAACTTTTTAAAACATGTCTTTTTGAGCTATTTTTGTAATTTGTAGATCAAATATATTGTTTAACTGACCAAAATTTGTTTGGTAATCACTAGTGCATAATGGTCCACTGTATTGTAGGTCTAGTTTATAAGTAAAAGTTGTTTTCTCATTTATTTAAAACACATCTGCAATATAATATTTTTAATACTGTGGATTTTTATAGATGGACCAGGCATGGATGTACGAGATGCGGAGAACTCATCCGGTATTCATGAGGGA